AAAAGTAAATAGCCATTGAACAATTACTACATGTATTGAAAAATCAATAGCCATTGAACAATTACTACATTTTCTGAAAAATCGGTATTCTTTGAACAGGTACTACAAACACAAAACATTTAGAAGCTCTGACGCAGTTATGTCGTTCAACAACAACCTTTGAATTTATATATATTCTGCTGTACTTTTAGTAACATGTAAAACCAAAAATATGTTTTGCTGCCAGTGCAATATCCTACACCCTCTCTACTGCTTTCTTTGCAAGCAAAATAATGTATAAAAAATGTGGAAGCCCCTATTTGTAAAAACTATCAAATGATGAATTAGTCTTTATCTTTATTTTGTTTAAATCAAATTTATCACGGCCATGGTGTTCTTGTTGGATATATGAACGCCATTACAATCATGATGGAATTCTTGTCTAGTCAATATTCTTTACACTGATCACAGAAAATCACGTTTAAAATAAAGATTCTAAATATGTTTATTAGATCAAAAACTGGAAGTTTAATAGTGGAGAGCTATAATATCGGGATGTCTTTCCTATATTCAATGCGATATGTTATTCTTCGTTTCAGATGACATACTTGAAGGTTAGTGTTTCTAAAAGGCACTTTTATCTTTGAAAACAATTTCAAAGAGATTTAAATTAAGTGTTTTTCATATATACAAGCACTTTCGGATGGGATAGACTCATAGGATCTGTTACTAAGCATTTTCAAACCGAAGAACTGCATTTAGTTATTATCAAAAGTAGGCTAACATGTCTGAACGGTCCATTGTTCCTGATAACTTTAATGGAATTACGCTGACATCCGGGTCTAGCTCGGTCTGTAAAACAAAAATTATATAATTATTATCCATTAAGAGATACGACAATAACACTAAATGGCATAATATTTGCTGAAACTCAAAGTCAGGAACGTTTATGATATTTTCTTGTTCCGTTTTACAATTAGAATCAATATTCAATGTTGGCATATCGTAAAATAAAAGATACATGTACGTTCTATCGACAAATAATGCTAATATAGCGAAATACGATATTTCTTGAAAATATTTAATGATCACTGTTCACACAGAGGAACAAAAAAGAATACAGAGCCTCAGTTAAAATAAGAGATTATACAGTTATTTAATTTAAGGAACTTCACAATTTCTTTACAACAAAAATAATTTCCAATGTATGAATAATTTAGATTGTAGTAATTCATTAAGAATTTTACACTCACTCCAATCGATCTTTCGTCTTCATCCCAGCTTAGCTTCTTAACTCGTCGCGGAATGGATCCATTTGGCCATCGGATAGTATGGATCTTACTTTGTAGTTCTGTCACTAAACCTTGGGCATAGCCATTTACATTGGGCTGGTTTTGTTTAATCACTTCTGTTTTGTGTTCTTGTGGATTTTCTCGAAAGTTATCATCTGGAGAATGTAACTTGTGTTTTTTAACGTGTTCAGCTTGGGGAGATGGTTTGCTGTTATTGCCAGTTTCTTCTTTCACATTCTTGAGTTCAGGTTGATCCACAATAAATATTGCATTCCTGTCAGCGCCCTGCTCAGGCTGGTTCTGGTCGTCATTGTGCATGGCTGGTTGGATCCTCGCCGGTGGCGGCCTTGTCACTTTACTCTGATATTGAGATCTTCGAACAGCAGAAGGGCGCTCCTCGATATGTTGCTTGCTTGAAAACAATTAATCAGTATATTTACTTTATTCTAGATGCGATACTTATAAACACGCAAACAAAGTACGAACAAATTCAGGTAACGAAAAATATTTCTAATTCGATTTAATCACTCATAAAACTGGTATCTAATAATTATATTTTTCATAAAATGGTGTCAGCAATGAAATGCAAAGACAAGAATCAGATGATCGCTTGAGACTACTAGTGTACATGGATCCTTGTTGATTATTATAGTTGGGACTACCCTCACTCGATGAGAGTATCATGAGTAATTGTGTAGCTTTGTGCTTAATTACAAATAAAACAATATCGAGTCCCAGTTCGAATCCTGGTCATGGGAGATGATTCAAACAAATTAGATTACTAAAGAAAAACGGGTGTCCAACTAGTGATCATCCCTTGACCCTGAAATAAGGCCCGAAAAAAAATACTTTTTCTGAAAGGATCTATGTTGATAGAGCACTCGCCTGGCTTGCGAGGAATCCTGGTCTCAAACTTACTTTGCACAAATGTAGAAGTAGGATTAGTATTCTATAAATGGTCTTTAGTTCACCCTCAGAGCACGGATGAGCATGATAAATCTGTAACTGGGATGGCTTATTGTGGATCCCAGCACAAGATGGACGACTGTTTTAAATGTGGAGATTCCTTATGGATTTTTAGAGTGATGAATTGCTGTGTGGCTAAAAAGTATTCAGGATTCATTTTTGGTACTAAAAATGCGAATGAATTCTTATTACTCCTGAAGAAGAAGAGTCAACTATGTAAAAGTGCTCGTGTTTCTTGATCTTTTGAAATCTGCTTTTTAATACTATAGACATGCTGATTTCTCTAGTGTAAGTGAATCATAGTGAACCCCTAAAGTGCGAAAGACTCCTTTGGATACCACCCATATGGCAACTATAAGGCACTTTAAACAGTGTAAACGTTAGAAATAATATATATACTGTGAGCTTCTACTCTATACAGGTATAAATATTACAAGGAAAAGAACTATTTACACATCGTTAAAGTCTCGTGACACAATCTGCTTTTTAATACCAAATTATTTTTAATGTTTAATGAAATGTTTTTTTTTAATATTTTTGCTTTAACAATTTTCGGTATTAAAACCTCCGTTTAACGTATTGGTTGACCAAGAAAAGAACGACATGACACAGTTTATTTTATATTCGCTAATGCTTAGTTGATATTAGCATTCTGAATGGTCAAATTAGAGTCAGCAGTAAGGGACTTATGAAAATAGCGTCTCTGTGACATAATAACTAATAGTGCAACTTCATTTGACGATTAAAATAGTTTAGAGTATACATTTACGTGATATGCTTGGTGCAGACTCCTATGAAAATATATTAAAAACCATGTTTGGTGTAAGGTGACCAGATATATACACTTTTTAAGTGGACTTAAAAACTATAGTAAATGAACTGGCCTCGTTTCATGAAGAAGATGGGCACTCTTGTTTTAAAAACGATAAATATATTTGATTTAGTCCAACAGATGGGCACCAGTCGAAAGTAGGACACATTTCTAACTAAGATGACACGTTGCATTTTTAATTGAACTGCTAATTGTTAAAAATTTTGTTTCCTTTTTTTTATATTCAATTTAAATAAAGAATTATTTCCCTTTTAAAAAGATCTTATCATTATCTCTTGATTAACAAGCTGTCCTGAGTTAATTGGAACAAAGAGAATATATGTAATGCAGTCAAAAAAGGCCATTTCATGCGTTAACCATCCTGATTGAAATTGTGAGACAAAACTACACTCCTCTTCAAGACTCACCTCTTCAGTATATACAGTGTTAGGGATACAATGACAATTAATAGAGTCCCTAGTATCACTCCAAAAACCACCATCAAAATAAAGGAATTCTTGGGATGATTTTCTTCTGATACACCGCCTTGCAATAACTCCTCGGGGAATGTAATAGTTAGTGAAACGCTTGACTGGCGGGGTGGGACTCCATTGTCTGTAGCAACAACAATCATGTGAATTATTGATGAATTTAGGTGCTCAACCTGTCGGATGCGGAGCTCACCACGATTCGAGATAGAAAAAACACTGAAATGAATCAGGATCAAGAGAATCAGGAATAACGCCACACATATATTTAGAATTAACAAAATAAGCAACAGTACCACACATGTATTTGTTCCTACTGCCTAATTGTGTAAATCTGTTGGATATGTTAACACATACCGACTGTGGTCAATTAAACCATCTATCCACTTAGAATCGAAACAATATTTTACTGATAATAATTAAATAAGGTGAAAACTTTCCATAAATTAAAACCTATGAAATAATAAATAGCTATAATACAACGAACAGAATTCAAACCTTCTGAAGTAAGTTTTGAATAACAGATTAAGAATGGATAGATGCTATCATGGTAAAAAGAAACAGTTTCGCTACAGAGAAAATGTTGCTAGCAAATACCAAACTCATAAAAAATTGTCTCTTTATACGAAATAGTGTTACTTACTCAGAAAATGGACCTTTGATTTGTAAATCTATCTTATCATTCCAGTCTCCATCTGTTACCTGCACAAGAGTCGATAGACGAAACTATTTAAACATTTCGTTTTCTTGAGCTAAACAGCGTATTTGTATAAGCTACTGTAAATGGTCTATACGACGAACATTTCTCAGCTTGTGATTGATTAAAACAAAGAATGCCTTTAAAACTTGGGAAAGTGTACAAGCTATAGTTTCTGAGCTCTGATTGGTCTTCTATAAAGAACGTGCTTTGTAGTTATGTAGCACATTGCTGATTAATGAATTGCCTGTACTCTGTTTATAAACTAAAATTACATCACATAAGCTTAATCCTTTTTATATTTTATGTATGTGGTAAAATACTAATAATAAATTCTCTAATATATAAAATAAGATAATCCGTTCTCATGTTAATTAATTTGTTTCTTCGCACATTTATCTTTATATTATTATTTTTTTAAACGTGCTTTTCATAGTTTCAGTTAGAAAGTCAGTTTGAAAATTATATATAAATATCTTCAGCTTTTCCAAAAATATCTCCCAAAATACGTTCCAGTTTTCAATCAGTAATTATATTTTACAATTCCTCAATTTCACTCACCTCAACTTTTCCTACAAGAGATCCAATTCTTACATCCGGATCATGCACAGTGAAAGTATACTGACTCTGCCTGAAAATTGGATCGTTGTCATTGACATTCATCACAGTTATGTTAAGCCTGGCTACATCATTCTAAGGTATAAAAAAAAATAATGCAAAAAAAATAACGATGTCTTGGTATACGCCATTCTGCATTAGGCTAGATCTATATTCACTGATCAATATGAAAAACTGAACACATGGTCAGTGATAACTATTTTAGAAAATGTTTTTTTTTTCTCACAATTTTCTCTTAGAACGTTCTCAACCTTTAGATTATTTATACAATATAAAATATCAGCTAGTTTCCATTCTCCCCATACCACAACAATCGTTAACCTTTCGAATTCAGTTTTGAACTGTGAGAAAGACACTTAAAACATCAACCCGAGTCCGAGAATAAATGAGCCAAGAAAATATAATGCAGTTCTGTCATATTTCATTCTAATTGAGTTTTATTTCGAACATGTATCTGTAGGCCTAATGAGACATTTGCAAGTAGTGCACGTGGCTACAAATCTAGCGTGTGTGATTGATGTAAGTACATTAACGACAAATATGCGCTTATAGACATTTATTCAGAGCTTTAGTGTGCTAATAAACATATATATTATATACATATAAAGCGTATCATACTGCTTATCTCATTCTACTTCACATTCATGTCCATTTTAGGCTTTCGGTTTAATTAAGAATAAGAAGCTTTGATGAAGAGTATTACCCACTCAATGACAATTGTGATTTTATTTTATTTGTGACCAAATTAGTTGAGTAAGTTGATTCATGTTATATTAAGACAATTTTGTCGCTTCACTACGTCGTTACAGTCAGTGTCACCGTTTCGCCATTGAGCGTGCTCTATTTGACCTTGCTTCATGACAATAGCCCTGCAGAAGAGTTTTCTTTTTTACAAATCATGGGTATCACTTTCAGCGGGTTAAAGTTTTTAAAGTCACTTGGTAAAATCTCATAAATTATGTCATGGTACATGAAGTATTACGTTTCATGAACACAGGATGCAACTTTCTTGGAGGTACAAAATATCACGAGTCACGAGGTATTACTTTTATAGGGTCACATGGTTTAGCTTGATAAAGAGGTATTATTTTTTACAGACACTGGGTTTGTTTGTTTCGGATGTTCGCGCAAAACTACCCAAGAGTTTTCAGCGCTAATATAGAATTGGTAGTTTAGAGGGAAGGCAGCTAATAAACAGCACCTACCACCAACTCTTAAGCTACTCTAATCGAACAGTAAAACTTAACCGTCATTCTTATAAAACGCCAACGGCCCCAAAGTGCGGAGAGTGATTTTTCGGTAACGGGTTGCGAACTATAGACCCTCAGATTCACAGAACGGTGACCCAGGCCACTCAATGTAGGTTTGAGATAAGATAAAACAAACATAATCACATGATATGACGAATAATGATACAATGAAATGTATGTTTTGAATTGTAGAATAAATGTATTTTTCTCGTATAGTTTAATAGAAGAAGAATACATTAAAGGATTAAATGTAACCTTTTATTGAAATAAAACTAAAATGTGCGATATTCATAACCAATAACTGCCAAATATCACCATGTTAGGAAACTTGATGTAAATTGAGAGAAAATTGAATTAGAGTGTTATACATAATGGTATGTGACTAAAACCTTTGACTTTCAATGAATGTAGAAACAATGTTATACAAAGGTTGAGTACGTTATATTAAAACACTTTGGAAGCTTCGCTACGTCGTTACAGTCAGTTTCGTCATGTCACCATCGAACGTGCTCTATCTGACAATCATGCCTCATGACAAAAGCCCTGCAAAATAATTTTCTCTGCAAAAGGCTCCATTGTAAGAGTGTCATGTCCAAAGAATAGCACTCCTCTCTGCACGTTTCCATAATGCATATATTTTACAAGAACGGCGCCTGTTAGAACGGTTTGATCGCATAGATCACATGAATCGCAAAACAATGTCAAAATATTGTTCGATATAAAGAAACGCTGCTTACTTCCTTATTTAAATATCCAAAATATTTTGAATGCAACGTACTCAACTCTATGTACACATTATTTTCAAAGTTTTCTAATAAAGGTGAAGGGCGTATTCCTAACTGAAAATCATTTCACTTTTTGGGTGGTTCAGGGGGTAAAGTTACATTATTTTTACTGTAACAAACCTAAACAAAATTAGTGGCTATAACTCCAAACTTATTCCACTAACGTTCAAATTCATTTAGTAAAATAAAAAAGAATAAATAAACAGCTAGAAACGTAATTAAAAAAAAGAGCGCGCCACAATAATATGACGTTTAGATGGTTGGTCGTTAAATTATCTTTATAACCAAATATTCTAGGTCTTTAGGTTTGTTTGAATTTCGTGCAAAGCTACACGAGGGCTATCTGCGCTAGCCGTCCCTAATTTAGCAGTGTAAGACTAGAGGGAAAGCAGCTAGTCATCACCACCCACCGCCAACTCTTGGGCTACTCTTTTACCAACGAATAGTGGGATTGAAATCTGAGGGTCGCGGGTTCGAATCCCTCTCACACCAAACATGCTCGCCCTTTCAGCCGTGGGGGCGTTATAATGTGACGGGTGAGTCGAGCGCCTTATCCACCTGGCCATGCCGGGCCGAAACTTCGTCCGTAAAATCTGGATGAAAAACCAACCAAGATTTTGTCACATGTGGATCATATGACTTCGGTTGCAGTCAGCATTCAGAAATTTGAAACCGGATTCCAGAAGTGTTCGTTAAATATTATTATTATACAATCAGCAGAACTGTTCGTTAAATATCAATATTATACAATTAGCAGAACTGTTCGTTAAATATCATTATTATACAATTAGCAGAACTGTTCGTTAAATATTATTATTATTATACTCTTACCAGAAGTGTTCGTTAAATATTATTATTATACAATTAGCAGAACTGTTCGTTAAATATTATTATTATTATACTCTTAGTAGAATTGTTCGTTAAATATTATCATTATACTCTTAGCAGAACTATTCTGTAAACGTTATTATTATTATTATTATTACGCTCTTAACAGAACTGTTCGTTAGGTACTATGAATATTATGTTCTTAGAAACAATTTCGCCAAATATTATCATTATGCCTTTAGTAGAACTTTTCGATAAGTTTATTTGTTTGTTTTTAGAGCAAAGTCACATTGTACTCTCTGCTGTATCGACCACGGGAAATCGAACCTCAAATTTTAGCGTCGTAACTCAGTAAACTTACCGTTGTCTCACCGGGGGACTTTTCGATAAGTAATACTATTATTTTGCTCTTAACAGAATTGATTATTAAATATTATTATTATTATTACTATGCTCTCTGTATTATTATTTGCTAAGTACTATTATTATTAATATTACGCTCTTAGCAGAACTATTCGTTAAATACTATTACTATTATGCTCTTACAAAAACTATTCGTTAAATACTATTACTATTATGCTCTTAGCAGAACTATTCGTTAAATACTATTACTATTATGCTCTTAGCAGAACTATTCGTTAAATACTATTACTATTATGCTCTTAGCAGAACTATTCGTTAAATACTATTACTATTATGCTCTTACAAAAACTATTCGTTAAATACTATTATTATTATGCTCTTACAAAAACTATTCGTTAAGTACTATTTTTATTGTACTCTTAGCCGAACTGTTCATTAAGTACTATTATTAGCATGTTCTTATAAAACTGTTCGTTAAGTACTATTGTTATTATGCTCTTACAAAACTGTTCGTTAAGTACTACTGTTATTGTGCTCTTAGCCAAACTGTTTATTAAGTGCTATTATTAGCATACTCTTATAAAACTGTTCGTTAAGTGCTATTATTATTATGCTCTTTGGAAAAACAATTCTTTAAGTACTATTATCATTATGCTCATGTAACTTTCCACAAAATCTTATATTTCTATAAATGAGGGTCAATTGGTTAAAAATATGAATACAGTGTTCTGTCTACAAGATGCATTTTGTCGAAAAAATTAAGTTAATTTCATGTTTAACGCAAATTACAATATCAAGCATCCCAAAGCCCTTAGGTATCTATCTCTACAGTCACTCAAAGATAGTCACTGAGCATGAAGTACCTATCTTTGTTTTTCGAATTTTATCATGAAGTTTTAGAAGAGAGAAAAACTTCCAAGTTTGTCTTTACAATTACATGTATGTTTTGTGTCGAATGTCCAGCTTGAAGGTATTCTAAGATTACTTGTAATGGATTAATATCCACGTAAAAGAGCATTACAGGATTACTTGTAGAAGATATAGTGTCCGTGTTACGAGTTATTACAATATTACTTTTAGGAGACTAGAGTCCAGATAACGGAGCATTACAAGACTACTTTTAGGAGACTAGAGTCCAAATTACAGAGCAGTACAAGACTACTTTTAGAAAACTAGTGTCCAAATTACGGAGCATTACAAGACTACTTTTAGAAAACTAGTGTCCAAATTACAGAGCATTACAAGACTAGTGTGCTGGTTACAGAGCATTACAAGATTACTTTTAGGAGACTAGAACTAGTCTTTTAAAAGTAATCTTGTAATGTTCCGTAACCTGCACACTAGTCTTTTAAAAGTAATCTTGTAATGATCCGTAACCTACACACTAGTCTCCTAAAAGTAATCTTGTAATGTTCCGTAACCTGCACACTAGTCTTTTAAAAGTAATCTTGTAATGATCCGTAACCTGCACACTAGTCTCTTAAAAGTAATCTTGCAATGTTCCGTAACCTGCACACTAGTCTTTTAAAAGTAATCTTGTAATGCTCCTTAACCTACAAACTACTCTTTTAAAAGAAATATTGTAATGATCCGTAACCTGTACACTAGACTCCTAAAAGTAATCTTGTAATGTTCCGTAACCTGCACACTAGTCTCCTGAAAGTAATCTTGTAATGTTTCGTAACCAGCACACTAGTCTCCTAAAAGTAGTCTTGTAATGCTTCGTAGTCTGGACTCCCTTCCCATTAGGGTAACTATTGAAGTAATTAGGGGTAATGGGGAACTTGATTCTGTGTTGCTGGCCCCGTGCTCAGATTTTAAGATACTTAAGGTTTTATTTTCTGATACGGGTCCCTTCCCATTAGGGTAACTATTGAAGTAACTAGGGGTAATGGGGAACTTGATTTGTATGTTGAGGCCTCTGTGAATCATAACCACGCAATGAAGCGCGATTATCTTCTGCTAGTCCCACTTATTTCTGTCGGGTTTTCTCACGTACTTTACATAGTAATCTGGTAATATTCCATAACTTGGACATGAGTCTTCTGTAAATAACTTTGTAATATCTCATAACATGAGCACTATACCTTCTTTATGTAATCTTGTAATGTTCCGTAACCTGCACACTAGTCTTTTAAAAGTAATCTTGTAATGATCCGTAACCTGCACTTTTAAGATACTTAAGGTTTTATTTTCTGGTACGGGTCTGAGCGCGAGGGCCAGCAACACAGAATCAAGTTCCCCCATTACCCCTAGTTACTTCAATAGTTATCCAAATGGGAAGGGACCCGTATCAGAAAATAAAACCTTAAGTATCTTAAAATCTGAGCACGGGGGCCAACAACACAGAATCAAATTCTAGATTCGGGTTCATAGACCCCGAAAACCTACTCTTAGATACCACCATGCCAGGGTGACCTACTGGACGTGTTGTAGCCCCCTTAGTTTTCCCTTGGTAGTGGATTATACTATATAGATAAGGACAGTCTCCTGGCCGCCTCAATCCCCCCAACCCTATCAAGTTTGGTCCTGATAGGTTCAAAACTGTGGGAGTAGATTGCGGAAAACAAACGCACTACGTAAATTAGTACAGAGATTAAATGTAATATTTACGGCATCTGTGTTTAAGCTTTGTGTTGTGTGTGTGTGTGTGTCTCGTATGCTAACAAGGCTTCTGCAATCAACAGCATCATGGACCCATCAGAAGTTTGATGTATAAATAATTAAGAAAAAAAGGTGTTTACAAATCAGATAGGGTCCTTCTGGACCCGAATCGTTAATTTTAGGGTTAAGATTTTCCAAGTTGGTTTGTATCTTTCTTCTCGAGATCAGTGTACTGTAAATAGGTCGTGCTGTCGTCATTGATTTTAAAGTTTCAAGTAATTAAATTTGCACTCATTTGTAATGCCTATGAGTTTATGTAGGTAGCCACAGGGAAAAATATGAAACTAGATACATTTGTTTGGACAAATGTGCGTGTGTGTTGTCCAATTTTTGCAGGTGGAGCTACTCACGGCCAGTCAAATAAAGTTAGTATGCAAAAAAAAAAAAAAGTGCCTAAGCCTTTATATTCAATAAACCCCATTAAAGTCTGAGTTTTGATATTAATCGCTCTCTGCTCGTGAAGGTACTGTTGTTCACGTAACTCACACGTGCTGTGGCTATCCATTCAACTGACCTGTTTATAAAGTGAGATCCTCAATCTTAATTACCGTTACATAATCGTGAATAAAGCAGAAAGCCCCAACAGAGTGGAGATTCAGAGTTGCCGGATAACGATAACTATTCTTATGTCTGAGTGTTGACTTTGAGCAAACGTAACAGGTTTTTTATAAGTAGATTTATGCAATACACACACACACACAGAAACATGTAGATAAACTTGACCTTAGGCTGTTGAATCTGCGTGTGTTGTGATATCTGTTAAATAGGTGGTGGATGATGCACGTTTTATACTTAATGAGTCACAATTCAAAGTCTACATGAGTTAGCTGGGTAAGACATAGTACACAGGCTACATCAGTTAAGAGTTAAATATATGAACCTTGTGATGATCTACGCGTTCTCTTGATGTGAAAATACAAACATACACAGACAATTTTTCTTTAAGTAAAAGATGCACTGTGAAATTCGTGTATTATTTCATTAAATTGAAAGACCATGAGATATATATTTATATATACTCACTTCGTGTTCTCTAAAACATAATAGATTCCGCGTAATCTTTTAACCTTTGCCACCTGGCGAGATTGAATGGGAAACTTATTTAACACGGTATTGTACGAAAAGGGAAATTATCCCATGTAAAACACGTGCCATAACTACGTGTTTTCTAAACAGTTTGATATAAAATAATCCTTAACGACGTGATGGTACTATTTAAAAATATCAAAAATAAGAATCAACACATACATATCACTCAGTATAAAACACAAAACATTTATCGATTATTAGATTAACTTTTCCCTAAATTTCAGTACTTGATGTTCACGTGCAGTTAAAAGTCTTTGTTTACTCGATAGAACAGGAATGGCATAGCTGAGATATATCATTTTTAATTTTATGAAACATCCGAATCATGACAAGTCAATGGCAGTAATATTTGTAAGAATTATGACATTTCTGTGTTGTGACACGTCAACAACAACAATATTTATAGCAACTAGGATATTTCTGTGATATGATACATCAACAATAATTCATAGCAGCTAAGATATATCCGTGATATGATACATCAACCATATTCATAGCAGTTAGGATGTATCTGTGATATGATACATCAACAATAATTCATAGCAGCTAAGATATATCCGTGATATGATACATCAACCATATTCATAGCAGTTAGGATATACCTGTGATATGATACATCAACAACAACAACAATATTTATAGCAGCTAGGATTTTTCTATGATATGATACATCAACAACAACAAAAATATTTACAACTATGATATTTCTAAGATAAGATACATCATCAACAACAACAATATTTATAGCAGCTAAGATATTTCTGTGATATGATACATCAACAACAACACTATATATAGCAACTAGGATATTTATGTGATATGGCATGTTAAAAAATAGTGTTTGTAAAATGAATACTATACCCTGAAATAACAACCAAAAAAAGATCTGTCAGCAGTAATATAACTGATAATATATCACTATATCAGAGGAACTTTGAATGAGAAAACAATGTTCTTGTATCTCATTTACGAAATTTGGAAAATCGACAAAAAAAAAAGACTAAATGTAACAAACACGATTTCATTTATTCTACAAAACGTACAAACACCATCGTTACGGACACAAATAAAATATCTCACACGCTTTGAAAAAATTCATTGAAAGGCGTAATTTTGTGGGGGCTAGCTCAAAAAGGCAGCAAGATCAAGTTACTTCAATGCATAAATGTGTAATTTTGTGGGGGCTAGCTCAAAAAGGCAGCAAGATCAAATTACTTCAATGTATAAATGTGTAAGTTTGTGTGGGCTAGCTCAAAAAGGCAGCAAGATCAAATTACTTCAATGTATAAATGTGTAAGTTTGTGTGGGCTAGCTCAAAAAGGCAGCAAGATCAAGTTACTTCAATGTATAAATGTGTAATTTTGTGGGGGCTAGCTCAAAAAGGCAGCAAGATCAAGTTACTTCAATGTATAAATGTGCGAGAAAAAAATAAAACTGGAATTCTCAGCGTGAACGACACCTTATGCGTGCGTGGACTAAATGGATAGATCAGAAACCCCCTGGGATCCGTCACCTCAAGGGCTTTGTCCGGCTATTTGAACCGAATAAAGCGATTGACCGTCTCTTTTATAACGCACCTACAGCTGAAGGTGTGGAGCGTGTTCAGCGATATCATGTCTCGAACCTCAAACCTTTCGATACACAAAACAACAGCTAACCACTAGGCCACGCCCGGCCCACGAAGAAAAAAGTTTCAGTATAACGTGCAACAACTCAACTAAACTTAAAACCCTAACACAGTTGTTTATGAATAAATTGTATTGCACGTATAACATCTATAATTACAAACATAATATATATATATATATAATCCTTTCTATTTTTCAAACTGCTGTAGTGTAAAATGTAAAAAATAAAACAAATATATATATATTTACAGACGGAAGTAATACTAACAGAGAGAGAGGTATCCAAGTGACGAAGCAGTGTAATGTAATCAGTTTCCCATACTCTTAACTGATTTAAATTACAGTCGTAATTTATCTTAATTTGCACTTTAAGTAATAGCCTTTCCCAATATACCGTAGCCACTAGCTTAGACGCCTCATTTTGTTTTAATCTACGAATGTCTACAACAAATAACTTAAGAGTTCATTGTATTCATTAATAACAAGGAATATCGACTTCATTTGTATTTTATTTCAACCTATTTGAATCGAATGAATTGTTTTTAACTTACTCCAGTTATAAGGTGTTCATAATTCAATGATAAAAGCACTTTGATTTTGTTTGTTTGTTTGAAGTTAAACACACAAAAGCTACACCAAGGGCTATCTGTGCTCTGCCCACCACGGGTATCGAAGTCCGGTTTTTAGCGTTATAGGTCCGCAGACATGCCGCTGTACCACTGGGGGGGGGGGCAACATTTTGATGAATTCAAAAGTCATTCATTGCAGTTGCTGTTTGTAGTTAAACGCAAAGCTACACCAAGGGCTATCTGTGCTCTG